CCCTTCCCCCCCCCCCCAAAAAAAAAGGAATTCCACAGCACGGAGAAGCTAATGAATTAGTGTTTGCCTATATATTCACCTGTGTGCACACAAAGACTATGTGGAGAATGGGTTTCAGAGACAGATCCGCATAAGGGCAGAGGAAATGAAGGGGCACGAGGTCTTTGAGTTCTCTTCCCTGTCCAAGGGCTGGATGAGTTTTATTCTCCCTTGGGTTGAGGGCTGAGAAAGGAAGGAACAGGGAAGACCTGGCCTCTTGTTGCTGGCACCGTAGGCTCTTAGGACCTGGGCTCCTCAGGGGAATCGGGGCTGAAGCAGAGGCCGCGGAGGAGCACTGTTTAAAGACCTGCTCCTCACAGCCTGCTCTGTTTTTGCAGCCCAGGAGTGGCCTGCTCCCGGTCAGCTGGGTCCTTCTCCGTCAATTATCAATCAAGGAAATGCCACGCAGACTTGCCCATAGGCCAATTTGGTGGGGACGTTTTCTACACTGAGGTTCCCTTTCGCAAAAGGATGCTCGTCAGCTTGTGTCACGTGGACACGACACCAGCCCACAGTGACACGTACCTTCCAGGAGAGAATGTGGCAGTGTTTGCAGAGCTGCAGGGTGTCTCCATACTGCTCTCGCCTGGGGTAACACCGGATCAGCTTAAAATACATCTTCTTCCAATCCAGCTGTCCCTTGTCAGACAAGATCAATCGCTTGCGGATCTGAAGATCAAACGGAGAAGAGTCATTTCAGGAGAGTTCACCAGGAGGATGTTTTGGGGTTTTCTGGTTCCGAAGATCTGCTCCCACTCTTTCCCCTATATTTTTATATGGACCCTATAACACCCAGGGGAGAAAACTGTCAGGCTGGAGCACAGCACTTTCTTAGCTCTGCACACTTACTCAGCACTGTTTAACCGGCTTTCGGAAGAAACAGGTAGCTGTATTTTCCTAGTGACTGCTTCTATGGTGCCTTTGACTGGTCCTTCAAAGCTTAGGCCACGCCCATAAGCCACTTCAATCTTTTCTTTGCTGTAGCCCTGAATGATTATTTCTAGGAAGACGCAGTGATGAGCACCAGGGCTCGGTTTTATTTTACGTTTCAGTGTCAGTGGCTCCATGAAAAGAACCTGTTGAATGTGAAGAGAGACCTTGCATACTGGCATCCTAGGTCTTAAAGGTTCTCATGGCCACGCCCCAGGGGCATGTACCTCCAGGTCCTAGGCAGGTGTAACAGCTACGTGCTAACTCACTAGGGGTGGTGCTTCAGGGCATGGTTCAAACATCCACCCACACATCAATGCACATCGGAAGAAATTGGAAAACCACCCTCAAGTGGTGTGATGAGGAACAGGTTTATAGGGTGTCTGCAGGGCCAATTCAGCTATCTCACCCCAAGACTCATTTCACTAGTTTGAATACAACGTTGGTCACTGGTGTGGCCTCAGCCTCTTCACCTGCTTGATGTGGACATGACAACATCTACCCTTCCTGGGTTGGGAGGCTAAAAGCAAATAATGTTCATAACAGTGCTTGACTACAAAGCACCAGAAAAGTGACTTTTTATATTCATTTATTTTAAGAAAAGAGGCAATACCAATTTGTGAAATGTTGGGGTGAGCCATAAATGTAATTTGGGTCAAGGATTTATTTATTTTTCCCTTATCAAGACAATGTCGCCGGGCGGTGGTGGCGCACGCCTTTAATCCCAGCACTTGGGAGGCAGAGCCAGGTGGATCTCTGTGAGTTCGAGGCCAGCCTGGACTACCAAGTGAGTCCCAGGAAAGGCGCAAAGCTACACAGAGAAACCCTGTCTTGAAAAAACCAAAAAAAAAAAAAAAAAAAAAAAAAAAAAAGACAATGTCGACAGTAACGAGGAACCAAAAAGCAAAACACACACACACTGACTTAGGAACGCCTTACACCAGTGGTTCTCAACCTGTGGGTGGAGACCCTGTTGGGGGTCCAACTACCCTTTCACAGGGGTACCCTAAGATCATCAGAAAACACAGACATTTATATTGTGATTCATAACAGCAGCAAAACGACAGTTGGGAAGTAGCAATGAAAACAATTCTATGGTGGGGGGGGTCACTGCCACACGAGGAACCGTACTGAAGGGTCTCAGCGTTAGGAAGGTTGAGAACCCCTGCTTTAGACCGTTGCTTTCTAGAAAACCAGGAAGTCCTGGAGGCGGGCAGCCCCACTGCATGCTGGACAAGGATGGGTCTCCTCAGAGTAAGGGCAGACCAGGGAGCACGAGGGAGCAGACCACTAGGCTTCACTGACCTGCCGCTCGGAAAAGTGGTACTGGCAGAGTCTCTTCCACAGCAGCCGGTCCTCACTGAGCACGTGCAGGTCTGGGGCCGCCTGGCCCAGGCTGACCAGGTCCCGCCCGTCGCTCAGCCTCTGCATGATGTTCAGTTGCAGGCACACAGGCAGGTCGGTGAACGTGAGGCCTTTGAAGGCAGGCTGCAGAGAGAAGGCCGGATGATAAGCTAGGTGTTAAGAGAGAAGAGCCATTTTCCAGGATGCCACTGGCCCCTGCCTGGTCCTCTAAGCTCAAGCTGGCTTATCAACAGCTAGAGTCTCAAAGCAGTGATGCTCCCTGTCTTACAAGCAGAAGTAGGACCCATGGCAGAGGCTCTAGAGGAAGGCCTGGAGTGTTGTGTCTTGGCTGACTGCAGCCTGCAGGCTTTCCCTGTGTATGCAAGCTTCTGATCTAAAAAACTCTCTAAACAGCACATGCTGGATTCTTCTATTATTTCTCTCTCTCTCTCTCTCTCTCTCTCTCTCTCTCTCTCTCTCTCTCTCACACACACACACACACACACACACACACAGGATTTCTCTGTATAACCTGGCTGTCCTGGATCTCACTCACTCTTTAGACTAAGCTATCCTGGAACTCAAGAGATCCATCTGCCTCTCCTCCCCAAGGGCTGGGATTAAAGGTGTTCACCACCATCATCCTGCTATATTTTTCTTTATTCTTGAGAATTTCATGTAAGTATACAAAGAAATATGATACTATTTATCCCATTTCCCTCCTCTAATCTCCCTGTACCCAACAGGTCCCTTCCAACTTCATGTCCTTTTTAAAAAAAGATTTATTTTTATTGTATGTGTATGATTGTTTGTCTACATATATGTAAACATACCATGTCCATGCCTTGTGCCTGTAGAGGTCATAAGAGGTTGTTAAATCCCCTGGAACTGGAGTAATGGATGGTTATGAGCTGCCATATGGGTGTTAGGAACTAAACCCAGGTCCTCTGCAAGGACAGCAAATGCTCTTAACCACTGAGCCATCTCTCTAGCCCCTCGTGGTTTTTTGTTTGTTTCTTCTGACAACCCTCTCAGTCCAATTAATGCGGCCCATATGTGCGTGGGTGGGGCCATACCCTGGAGCACGGGAACATACTGGATTTTTGTGTTTGTTAACTTCACTATTCAACTGCAAGACTCACGACTTTCCCAAAGTGCCACTGCCCTGATGGATAGCTCAGGCAGACACCTGGCCTCCCATCTCACTGTCCTCTGTGATTCCAGATTGTTCCATTTCAGTGTACTTTCTGGTACCCAAACCATTTTCTTGCCTATCTGTGCACAAAGCCCTCACCCACCTGGCCTTCTCTCGTCTCTCAGACCCACTTCAAACCCATTTCTGTTGGGCATGGTGGCAAACACCTTTAATTCCAGCACTTGGGAGGTAGAGAGGAGGATATCTGTGTGTTCATGGCCAGCCTGGTCTACAGAGCAAGTTCTAGGACAGTCAGGGCTACACAGAGAGAACCTGTCTGGGAAAAAAAAAAACCAAATACCGAACAAAGACAACAAAACAAAACTCAATCATGTCCTCTGACCACCTTTTCGGCTTATGTATTTCCCTTAGGTCTCGTTCACTGCACCTTCTCCGAACTCCTACAAGCTCCTTCAGTGACTCTGCAATGTGCACCCCCTCCACCTGCTTTTCTGCATGCGGTGGTTTGAAAGAAAATGGCCCCCAAAGGGAGTGGCACTATTAGGTGTGGCCTTGTTGGAGGAAATGTGTCACTGTGGGGGTGGGCTTTGAGGTCTCTTTTTCTCAAGCTTCCCTCAGTGTGTCAGCCAGTCAACTTCCTGTTGCCTGCAAGATGTAGGATTCTCAGCTCCCAGCACCACGTCTGCCTGCATGCTGCCATGCTCCCCGCCATGATGATAACGGACTGAACCTCTGAAACTGTAAGCCAGCCACCCTCAAGTAAACGTTTTCTTTATAAGAGTTGCCGTGGTCATGGTGTCTCTTCACAACAATAGTAACCCTAAGACACTGCACAACCCCCTTCCCTTAAGAAGCACTGAATGGAACATTCCTTTCCGAACCTGAAGTCCTGACAACAGGGAGCTTGCTTTGTTTCACTGCTGTGCCCTGGTGCACAGCGTGTTTGGCACATCGTAAGCACTCAGTAAATAGTAGTGCAATGGATTAAATCCAAATAGTTGAACAGAAAAAGATTTACAAAAGACCCTGTGCTTGTGCATGTGTGTGTGTGTGTGTGCGTGTGTGCGTGTGTGTGCGTGCATGTGTGTGTGTGTGTGTTTGTGTATGGTACATGTGTATGAATATGTGGTATGTGTGTGTACAGGACAATATGTATGAGTTTGTATGCATCTCTGTGGGTTTGTGTATGTTCCTGTTTGAGATTATACTTGGGTGGGTTTGTGTCTATGTGTTGGTGTATGTTCATGGTTGGCCCCAAACCCTCTGAGCTAAGCTCCCCTGTCACCAAAGCAGCTACATGCCCACCAGGGAACATTTAATTTTTAAAATTTTTATTTATTCTACAAATATGAGTGTGTTGCCTGCATGTATGTATGTGCACCACATGTGTGCTTGGTGCCCATGGAGATCAGAAGAAGGCATCGGATCCTCTGCAACTAGAGTCACAGATGGTTGTGAGCCACCATGTGGGTGGTGGGAATGGAACCCCGGTCTTCTGCAGGGCAACAGTGCTCTTCACTGCTGAGTGATCTCTCTTGTCCCTCCAGGGAATGTTTTAAAAGCTGCTCCTTTACATGTAATATACACCTGCAATCAACTTCGGGCTTCTGAAGGAACTTCCACTATACCCCCAAGCCTTTTCTTATTTTAAAATGTGATGATCTCAAGATTATCTCACCTAGACCTACATCCTTGAAGGCAGGACCTAGCTGGGAGGCCTTGGAGACCAGTCCAGCACAACACAGCCCTTGTGGCGCTTACCGCGGACAGGTGCAGAACTGCGCAGGGGGAAAATAAGACTCTTGGAATAGAGATTATTTTTCTCATCAGATTTCTGGGGGAGAACCTGTGGGAAGCACAGCAAAGCCCAAACACATGGGGGGATCCAGGGGTTACGTGGTACCAGTCTCATTGGGATTCCAAGCATCACTCAGCCTCGGCAATCACCTGAGTCCCTGGTAGGCACGACAGGCATTGGTGGGAAGATGGGGCCCAGGAGGAGGATTTAATGGGGAAGAATGGGCGTGGCATGGGAGGAACTCAACATGGGCAAACGGCAGATCCAAATGGCATCCTGGGAAGCCCGGGTCTCAGTTTCCCCAGCTCCCAAAGACTGTGTTTAGAATACTGAAGATCCCTCTGGTGCTAATGATCTCGGCCCTGCAGCGGCTCAGGCCTTCTGTTTCATCAGAAGTGTCAGCGAGTTGACAATTTTTACTGCTCACTTCTACCGGGGGGTGTTGGGCTGAACTCCATTTGTTTACAACACTCAGGACTCGGTGTGACCGCAGAAAGCCCTCTACCTATTTGTCATTTATCATCTGCTGTTGATCATAGGAGCTAATAAAACTGCCATGGGATTTTCTTCTTGTTTCCAGCACTTCAAAGCCTCTGCTCTTTTTGGTTAAAACTCCCAGGCCAATTATTACATTAACTCCTATTAAAGGCAAGTCGGCTTGGCCGAGTTTGCCTTGTCAAATTTTCAAACCTGAACTTTTCCAAAACCCTTGCCCAGACCTCATGCCAAGCCCTGACTCCTGATAAACGGTTAACTGCTTGCATGCCTTCTTCCTTCCGAACATAAACACGTAAAGGGAGAAATATGTCACCCCTGCAGCAGCCTCCGCCAACCATTTGACTAAACTCCACTTGTGTCTACCCAGCCCCCATTTTCCAAAACACTGCTTTGCCCACAGCACTACAATTATATTTTATTTTTAAAATAAAGAGAACCCCTACAAACCAGTTCTCTTTAACTCTGTCCTTCATCCTTTATTATTATAGGAATTACATTTGCCAATAAAAATGGGCTTGGAAGAATTAGATATGAGGATTTCTAAGGCAAACAAGGTTATGTGCTAGGACAACAGTGGCAATTTGTGGGCTGACAGGGAAGCGCTTACAACGAAAGTCACTTTAATATTTTCATGGATCAACATACTTTTCTTCCTGACAAATATAAAAATATCGTCCAGACTGAAGTAGAGTATTCTTGTTCTCTCCCTGCCCCCTCCCGACCCCCAGGATCTTAAAGCCCAGGCTGATTTCAGATTTTTTTCTGTAGTTGAGCATGACCTTGAACTCCCCATTCTCCTGCCTCCACGTCCCAAGTGTGCTGCGATTACAGGCCTGAGTCACCAAGCACCATAAGAGCTGGGGCTCTATGTGGGAAGCTCCTCTGTACAGCTCTCAGAACAATATCATTCAGAGCCCCCTAGTGGGTCCAGGAGGGGACAGAGTGGAGAAAGGATCTGTACAGCCCTCTGTCAGCAGCCTGTTCTGGAGTCTGACGTCAGACCTCCTGGTATAGAGGCCCCAACACAATTACACTCTGCCCTCCATGTTCTCGGTTTCTACATCCTTGAGTTCAGTGAACCACAGATGGGAAAATACTGAGGAAGAAATGCATCTGTACTGACTGCATAGAGACTTTCTCTTGATCTCATGTCCCATGCACAGAGCATCCTGTGAGGTATTAAAATTGGGCTAGAGATGATTTGCAGTGCAGAGGAGGATGCATGTAGGCTAAGCATAGTCACTAGGCCACTGTATAGAAGACACTTGAGCATCTATAGCATCTGGGGGGTCCTTGGGGCGTCTTTGAATCTACCCTCTGTGGATACTGAAGATGATTTTTCTTATTTACAAAACAAGGAAATGAGTATCTTGCAGTGTGCCTGGGTAGAAGAGATGAGATAATGCATGGAAGTACTTAGCACAGTGCCCAGTAAATTTCAGTCATTTGCCCTAATTACAATGAATTACTAGATAAGTTAATTATCCCATGGGAGGGACTTACAGTGTGTGTGTAGACAAGCCCTTGATCATAACACCTAATGCACCTATAATAACGCTGACTACATACCAGGCCCTGTTCCAGCTGCTGTCTGGAGACCAGTTTATGCAACCTCATGCCTACGTTAAATCTCACACAAGGATATGAGATGGGCATGTCTGCCTCTGTTTTCCAAATGAGGAAAGCAAAGCATGGGGAGACTGAGTAACTGTCTGAATCTTGCAGTTGGTAACTTATCACTGTCATCCATAACCTAGGACACTATTCTCCAATCATGCTCTCTGGAACCCTGAACATGTCCTTCGGCAGGCAGGTTGGTGGGGAGCTGTCTCTTCAAATGAACATTCATCTCTTCAAGCAAAATCTACTGACTGCTTGTGCCAGGTATAGAGGAGAAGATGAAAATGTCTTTTCCTCTGCAGATTATAGAGCAGTGGACGGAGACAGATGTGTTTGTGCCCAAGATCCTTTCAGCTAGTCAGAACCGATCTGAAGAAGACTGTGTGTTAGGGGTTGTGAGAGATGGGACGAGGGGCTGGAGAGATGGCTCAGCAGGTGGTCAAGAGCACTGGCTGCTCTTCCAGAGGACCTGGTTCAATTCCCAGCACCCACATAGCAGCTCACAACTGTCTGTAACTTCAGTTCCAGGGGATCTGACACCCTCACACAGACATACATGCAGGCAAAAATACCAATGCACATAAAAATAAGTAAATCTTTTTTTTTTTTTAAGAGAGATGGGATGGAGCAGGAAGACTGTGAGTCACAAGGCCCTGAGGTAGTGCGCAGAGAAGTGTGGGGTTCTACTGGAGTACCTCAAGCAGATGTGAGAGGGAGATGAGCTGCAGGGTTGGATCTCTTCTGCAGAGGATTTCATTGGATTAAAAAGTTTGATTAATGGCTGGAGAGATGGCTCAGCGGTTAAGAGCACTGGCTGCTCTTCCAGAGGACCCGGGTTCAATTCCCAGCAACCACATGGTGGCTCACAACCATCTATAATGAGATCTGTTGCCCCCTTCTGGCCTGCAGGCATATATACAGACAGAACACTGTATACATAATAAATAAATAAATCTTAAAAAAAAAGTTTGATTGATGAGTATATAAATAATTGGAAAAAAACCAGATGGGAAAAAGTTTGGAAACCACCAATGTTAAGCATGCTTTGCCATTTTAGGGCTCATTCGTCCCAGCTTCTGACTTTAGCCTGATTGCTGTGTAGGCTAATAGTAATTACAGTGGTTGCCTTTCAAGAGTGTCTGGGGGCCAACTAAGGGGGGTAAGGAAGTAGGTCACAGAAGTGCAAGGATTGGGAGATCGGGGTAGGAGACACACTCATTTGAGGTGGTCAGAGGGAACACAGCTCAGGGCAAGCATGACCATCTAAATGAATGCTCCAAAGTTGCTAGAAGAAAGATGTCCTTGGAACAAATGAGCCTTGTTTGTTTCTATCACTGGCTGGGAATTTTCTCTGAGGAATAAGACAGGAAGTATTCAGTCCAGGCCATAGAGAATGCTGGAAATCAGGTAGCAGGTCTACGTGAGCTTTCTGTGAGAGAAGAACGGAATTCTGGTTCTAAATGTACATTGTTAAGCCATGTCTCTACTTCAGAGATGAGACTGGATAAATTATTAAAACTATACTGTTCATAATAAATGCTTAATTTTCTTAAAAGCATCCAACAATGGGGATAATTTCTGAAAGATGACCTACATTTGGGCTCTGCTCAGCTCTCTGCATGCGTGTGTTTGCAGGCACGTGCATGTGTGTGCAAGTACATGAGCATGTGGGTGTGTACAGGGAATGGGGGTGGAGGGGTGGGGTTGTAGCCTAAGTAACTTCAAGGATGCTATGTAACTAGAGGATTCTAATTACTCCTTCTGCTTCAGAATTTAAGAAACCAAGGTGCCGGGGAAAAAAAAAAAAAAACAAAAAAAAAAACCCATTCACTGTAAAGAAAGAATGTGCTTTTTGGAAACGTCACAGAGCAAGGTAATTGTCTGGAGGCTTTGTCACGGGGCTTTCTGCTTGTCACCTTCACCTGATACATGGTGCAGTTCCAAACGGTGTGGGTCCCGGAAGCCACTTAACCAGCCCAGCGTGTGATTAGATAAGTAGCCAAGTGTTGTGTGAGTTTCCTGAGTGTGCCTGTCTGTTAGTGAGCCCTGAGAGATTACTCCAGCAACATTCACACGGTTCCGTGTGTGCCTTCGACTCCCCCCCTCACCGTTAAGAGGATGGGAGCCAACAGGGAGTGTGTATTCTGAAAGCCCAAAGAAATGTCTGATCTATGAAGCCATATGCTGGTTGGTAATCCACAGGCTTTGGATGAGTCTTGCTTAGTTATCATTTTCGTGACATGCATGCTCAGGCGTGGTTCAAAGGTGTCCTTTGTCATCACTACCATTAAATGGGACTGAAATTCTAAAAGGCTGGTGGTACCAGTTCTCCAAGCCACTGTCTTCTGGGTTCTATTGTGCTGAAGGCGGCATTCCCAATCCACAAGCAGCTCATTCTTTCTGAGGAAATGAGCGGAGAGCACCCCCAGGCGTCACTGAAGACCTCAGCGGACAGCCAGCATCCCTCCCCCATAGCTATGTTCCCGTGGTTTTTTGTTTGTTTGTTTTTTGCATGAAGCTTCGGCTGGCTGTCACCTTTTACATCCCTTCCACCTGTTTTGCCAAGTTCTTCTCCCCACCCCCCCTTTATCAGGATGCCCCTCCTACCACCTTCCACTCTCCAGCACAAAGGATGAGACATCCAATCGGAAGCGACCAGCTCCTGCATCACCAGAGTGGACTTTATGCCCTGGAAGTTCTGCTCAGTGTCCTGAGTGGAGGACACCGCGGCAGGATGAGTGGGGCTTGCACCTACCCTGGTGATCTGGATGCTGCTCAGCTGCTGCTGCCAGTGTAGAATGGTCTCCATCCGATACACCCACATGTTAATGTTGCCCACCAGCACGGACTTGCCAACTCTCTGGACCAGTGTGCATAAGGATGTGTAGAGGGTCTGGAGAAGTTCCCTGATGAGTCTTATGTTTTGCTGGTCTTCAAGGACTTGAGTGGAAAGAAGGAAAATGAAATCAATGTTATGGAAACCGTGCACATTACAAGTGGTGTTTTCTTCTTCACTGCCTGCCCCTATTACTGGGCACTGCCTCTCACTAGTGTTTTTTCTAGTCTCAGCTTATGGGTCGAGTTTCCGTTATCTAGGTCCCTCTTTGTTCTCTTCTCTTGGGTTTCTGGGGAGCTCCGTTTCCTTTGCCGCACCAGTGCCAAGGGTCCTCCTGATCAGAAAGCGGCTTTTTTGTTCAGGCACCGACATATGTTTAGGTGGCCAGTGGAAGACTGCAGTTTTGGGGTTCGGAAGGTTGGGTTCTAACCCCGACTGGGCTAATCTCTTGACGATCATAGGCAGATGATCATTTCACATATGCATCAGTTCCCCCATGTGTGAAATGACTCGGTTGAGCCAGAGGTCTAAGGTCCTTGCTGGTTCAAACAGTCTATGCCTCAATTCTGCCTTGCACACAGCTCCGTCTCCTAGGAATACAGAAGCTCCATGGTGAAGGCTGGGGTACATGGCCTCATGGAGGAGCCAGTCAAACTTAAAGAAAGGCAAACAGATGACCCTAAAGAGAGGGCCAGAGGGCAGTGGTCTTGTTCTTTGCCAAGGGCTGAGCTGGAAGCTAGTACCCCTGGAATTCAGCTGACATTATTCATTCCCATGCACTCACATTACTTTCAATCTAGTGACATGCTACTTGATGAGAAAATCCACCTGCCTATTCCCATGCCTCTCAAAAGGGCTGGGAGAGGGTGGGGGAAGCTCACCTTTCAGCACTACTTTTTCCAAGATGTTCATGAAGTTCTTTTGGGCGATGCCACTCAGGGACGTGAGCTGTGACTTTGCTATCAGTTCCAACAGCTGTGGATAAAAATAGAAGTTGCCAGGCTTAGAATACAGGGATATTTTTCTCCTCTAATCTTCACTTTTGGGTCACATGACGTGCAGATACAGACTGACGGGAGAGGGAGAGAGAGATAAATGGCAGGCAAGGCCACCAGGCAATAAAAAGCAGATGCTCCAAGTGAAAGACAAATGCTGGTAATTCAAAACTAGGAGTCAGGCTGAATATTTAACTGCTTTTTTCTCTTTTATATATAACGGGTTTGGGCTTCCGCCAGGGCTAGTCCATTCTATTTGGTTCTCTTTGGAAAGGAGAGCTGACGGTATTCCGGAGGGAACAGAACCTCTCATGACCTGTGAGCACAGGAGCGTTGCACAGTCACCCCCGGGGGAACTGTTCTGCCCCGACGTGAACTTTCGCCCACCGGCACCCACTGCTCTCAGGGCACTGCGAAGCTCGTGTTTGGTGACCATGTGCTTGTCCCAAGGAAGGGATGATTCTCTTCTAGACATTGTCTGCTTTTTCATGTTCAATAAACCTGCCTGATTAGACTCCTTTGCTGCATTTACCATTTTTTTTTTTTAATAGAAAGATGGGTATAGAGTGTGTCTATCTATTTCTTCCTGGAGACTCAAAGGAGAACCCTTGTATCTGTTAGCTTTGATGGAGTCTGATTTAAAATTTTATTTTATATATCTGAGTGTTTTGCCTAAATGTGTGTAAGTGTACCATGTGTGTGCCTGGTGCCTCTGGAGGCCGGAAGAGGACATCAGAACCCCTGGAACTAGAGTTACAGTGAGTTCCAGAACAGCCAGGGTTACACAGAAAAATCCTGTCCTGAAAAACTAAACGGAGCCAGGTGGTGGTGGCACACGCCTTTAATCTCAGAACTCGGGAGGCAGAGGCAGGCGGATCTTTGTGAGTTCGAGGCCAACCTGGGCTACAGAGTGAGTCCAGGAAAGGCACAAAGCTACAGAGAAACCCTGTCTCGAAAAACAAACAAACAAAGCAAAAAAAAAAAAAAAAAAAAGAAAGAAAGAAAGAAAAAAGAAAAACCAAACCGAACTAACCAACCAAACAAAACCCCCAAAGATTCTGTTGTTGAAAATTAAAATGGCAAGGGGTTTTGGAGGTCACCTAGTTCAACCCACTTCTCAGATGAATCAGGTGAGGCTCAAGAGTATCACCAGGGCCAGGGAGAAGGCTTAACAGGTAAAGACACTTGCTGTCAAGCCTGATGGCCTGAACTTGATCTCCAAGGCACACAACAGAAGGAGAGAACTGTACGTTGTTCTCTGACCCATACACAGGCGCGCACATGTGTGTGCACACACGCAATAAATAAATGGAATAAAAAATTTAACAAAGACTTTATGAGCTATCTCACAACCCCTGAGAGGACTCAGCTGTATTTTCCCCACTTAGGAAAGTGAGAGGACACACTGTATGTTTCAAAGAACCATCACACCAAAGGTTGCTATAAAGTCAAAACAACCCATTTCATCAGAAACAGGACAAATAAAGTCCCCGAGAAACACAACACAGACTCAGGCTTAGTAAAGTGGCCTTAGAAAACTAAGACCCCCCAATAAAGGAGAGACACAAGAGAGGTAATAGAAGTGAGTATGATCAAAACACATCATTTTCATATATGAGAATATCATAATTAATTCTTAGTGTAATTAATATATGCTAATTCTAAGAAGCAAAAGAAAGAAAAAAAGAAAACTAAGACCCCCTCACTTTGTGGACTGCTTTGCCCCTAGAAAAACTTTCTCAATGGAACATTGACTGTCTTCCATCACAAAATTAAACAAGTTCTCCTTTGAGCTGAAACAAAATTTTCAGTCTGTTTTTTTTGTTTTGTTTTTCTTTTTTTGCTTTTGGCAGGGTCTCACATAATCCAGGCTAGCTTCAAACTTACTACCTAGCTAAGGATTACCTTGAACTTCTGATCCTCCATATTCTACCTGGGGTAACTGGCTCATCCCACCATGCTTGATTTATGAGATGCTGGGAATTAAAACTCTGGCCTTCGTGCATGCCAGGCAAGCAGCTACCAACCGAGCTCCATCCCAGCCCTAGGAAGCTTTCTGAGAGCGTTTCATCGGCCCAGGCCCCGATCCGATTTCATCAATGTACTTGGATGCGGGAATCAAGGCAGAGGGAAGAAACAAAGTAAAACCAAAAAATCTGCACTGCAAAAACAAAGACAACGTGAGAACACAAGAAATGAAAATAAAAGCTGGAATGCAGAGGAGGATGAACTTTGGACCCACATCCTGGGTGGTTCAGGGCACCTCCGTGTCCCGGGTTCTTAGTTAAACATTTTGTCCCCTTTGGGACCCTGTCAAACCACACATAGAACTAGTTCCTTGAACATAACTTTACTTTAAATTGGGGGGAAAAAGTTTTAAATCTCAAATGTCTTCCTGCTGGGTTGGGTATCTTTGGCGTGTGCAGGGGGTGGTGTGGCCTCCTGATGATGACGAGGAGGGGGAGGAGGAGGAGGAGGAGGAGGAGGAGGAGATGACGCTGCTGTGTTGTGTTTAGTGTTAGAGACGTAAACTTGGAAGTCAGGGGCTGACAAGAGTGACACTCACAGTCAAGACATCAAGACACACCCGGGCGGGGGAGACGGGACGGGGGGATGGGGGACCGCTCTGTCCATCCACGGTGACCACAGCCCTCTGTGCCCGTCTGGTTTGGTTCAGCCACCAATCGGCACGTGACGGTGGAAAGAGGAACACAAACCTTTCATTTTCTCCCTGAGCAGCAGGCTGTAGAAAGCCAGGCTGGGGTTTATTAATACCCAGAGCCTCACATGACCAGCATACAGCAAAGATGAAAGAAAACACAAGCTTGGAGCCTGGAGCCTGCTCCTGCAGGGCAGGCGGCTGAGCACCGTGACTCAGCTCTGGGTAGGAGGTGAGGCAGGGGGCAGCCTGCGATCAGCCAGAAATGCATCCAAAACGTGGGTGCCATGTGACCACCAGCTCCCAAGAGCGTCAGTATTAACCTTATCTAAAAAGGCACCTGTCACAAGGAAAAATAAACAAACAAATAAATAAAAAGCCCTCTGCAGCAGGCCCTGACTGTGTATCTAAGACGCCTCTGCAGACTGTACATTTAGGGGAAACAGAAAGCTCTTTGGGCTGGATGATATCATCTTCCTTAACTGAGGAGGGAGAGGGGCCGAGGAGCAAATCCTGTCAACGGACAGTAGGGTGACATGTCGACTCTTCTCTCATCCTAACTGAAGAGAAAGTCCCTGCTGTCATTACTAGGCAGCTGTGGAGCCCTGGAACAGGAGAAGCAGATTCTCTGTCGGGGTGACCTTTCCAACTGTCTTTCATGTAGCAAGAACCCCTGTGTGTGTCCACTCTGTCCTAGTGCTGAGGCAGACGACGGGGGATAATGACAAAACCCATGCTTCCCCAGACGCATGGAGTTTATCGTTTAGTCATCCAGCCCGTTTCTGTATTCTTTTTTTTTTTTTTTTTT